ATCACCATCATCACCACCACCACCACCACCACATCATCACCACCACCACCACCACCACCACCACCACCATCACCACCACCATCACCATCATCATCATCATCATCATCACCACCACCATCATCACCATCACCACCACCACCACCACCACCACCACCACCACCATCATCATCATCATCATCATCATCATCACCACCACCACCACCACCACCACCACCACCACCACCATCATCATCATCATCATCATCATCATCACCATCACCACCACCACCACCACCACCATCATCATCACCCACCACCACCACCACCACCATCACAACCTCACACACACACGCACACACATACACACCATCACCACCACCACCACCACCACCACCACCACCACCACCACCACCACCACCACCACCACCACCACCACCACCACCACCATCACCACCACCACCACCACCACCACCACCACCACCACCACCACCATCACCACCACCACACCACCATCATCACCACCACCACCACCACCACCACCACCACCATCATCATCATCATCATCATCATCATCATCATCATCATCATCATCACCACCACCACCACCACCACCACCACCACCACCATCATCATCATCATCATCATCACCACCACCACCACCACCACCACCACCACCACATCATCAACATCATCATCATCATCATCATCATCATCATCATCAACACCACCACCACCACCACCACCACCATCACCACCACCACCACCACCACCACCACACCACCACCACCACCACCACCATCATCACCACCACCACCACCACCACACCACCACCACCACCACCACCAACACCACCACCACCACCACCACCACCAACACCACCACCACCACCACCACCATTACACCACCACACCACCACCACCACCACCACCACCACCACCACCATCACCACCACCACCACCATCACCACCACCACCACCACCACCACCACCACCATCACCACCAACCACCACCATCACCACCACACCACCACCACCACCACCACCATCACCACCACCACCACCACCACCACCATCATCATCATCACAAATTCATGACAGAAATACAAGTAATGAAAAATGTTATTGTTTTGATGATTTAAGTTGGATGATTTTGTCTGTTTGTTGGTTTTAATTATTTTGTTTTCTTTTTTTTAATGATTATTTTTTCACCAATATACCAGATACATAAGTTAAGGAGGTATGAGAGTCACGCTGTACAGCATCACTGACTTCTCCAATTACGTAATAATATGTACTTATAGTCAACAAATGTTCACTGCTTCATTAGGAAAACACTGTTTATCTCAAGGCGATTAACCTTACATTACAGCATATGTACATATGTTTATAGTTTACATTGTAACGTCATAAGTCCATGAGGTTTGAAGGGCATTTATGCATTAATTATTACAGGCGGCGTTGATAGGAGGAATGGTCGGTAAAGTATTTCCGTTAGGGGTGTTTGGATTGGTGTCTATCATCGCTGGACTGTCGTCCTTGTATTTACCGGATACACTTAATCGAGCATTACCGGAAACGATTGAAGACGGGAAAAAGTTTGGAAGGTATGCATACTCTTCCGCGTCGTTTTATTTAGAAACACTTTAAGATTGACCAATCTTCCACCAAAAACTTCAGAAGTAATATATTGTTTACTTCCTTGTTTGAACACTACTATTTATTATTACAGGTCTGCCAACCCAACTCGGGAAAAATATGGAATCAACGATAATAACGGGCAAAAACTACCTTCCTATGAAAACAATGGATACGTTTCAGAAAAGGAAATGACTCAGCTGTGAGACATATAAGCATACTTTCAAACTTGAGATGCATGGTTTTCTTAATAACTGACTTGTAAGAAGTTAGGCACAGAACTTTAGGTATATATACTTTGTAGTTTTTACATGTAACTAAATGAAATAAAAACGGTCATAATGACAAGAATGAGAGTATTTGTATATAATCATAAAAATGTAACCTGTTATATGTAATAAACTACCAACGGTAGACAAGGTCAAAAGAGAGAATTGACCTTACATTGTATACGGTATGGAGATGAAAACAACAGCGGTAGATCGAGTCAAGGAGAGAATCGACTTTACTTTGTAAGGAGGGGAGATGAAAACAACAACGACATATTGAGTCAAAGGAGAGAATTGACCTTACATTGTAAGGAGATGAGATGATGTAGATCGAGTCAAAGACGAGAAAATAAAGAGAAAAGGGTAAAAAAACTGATATAGTGTAGATATAATGGGAAATAGAACGGTATTTTTGTCGTCCATTCTTTTTTAGTTTGGGTACATTTAAATTTTGTCCTATTTCACCTTTATAACCATTATACACCATTGATTGATAGTATGTGAAAGAATACACAATAGCACATGCTTCTCTGAATATTTATTAAATAACAAAGCTATTTACATCAGAGTTTTGTATACACGTCATTCACACCAGTTACATTACACAAAGGGTACATTACACAGAGAATATGTATCCTGTATAAAGAAAACCATATGCAAGTTTTCATAACGTGCGTATCAAAACATTTGTCTACAAATGAATTGATGTTCATAAGGGTAGTTTAACTAGTTATAACCCCGTACAACATTAACAAATATATATATATATTTCAATGAAAAGATATCCTTGAGAATTATAATATTTTCCATCGTTTGATTCCCTTATTTTGCTCCGAATACTCTCAATTCAAAACTCTCTTTATAACTGGAATTCATACTGACAGCCTACGTGAACTTTACAAGGTCAGGAACTTTCATTTAAGTACCAGATCAACCCTGGTTTGTTGGAATATATGATGATATTCAAGATTTCCCTGGTGAAAATATCTGTTTTATTGTTCATGTACAGTATCGCCCCATAGTAATTTCACCTCTACCGTTTGAAACATTAGATATAACAGTGTCTTCCTGTATGAGTGATAGATACTATTCTAAACTTACTTTTCATGATACACGTTATTTTTTAACATAACCTATCGCTGGTAATTTTATAAACCTTTTATTATAATATCGTTTACATCAATCGTGTGGTTATTTACCGTCGTTATCTGACCCACAAAGGTAACCTGTTCCAAGTGAAATCACTAAGTCTTTTCTTTTTTTTGTGAAATTACTTTGTATTTTGACATACAATATGTAGTTTGGTTGCGCCTGTATCGTAACTACTTACAATAAATATTTCAATAGCATATTCCTCATACCGTTCTGTTGTATACCAGTCCAAGAACATTCGTCACACTTTATATGTTATCTACGACGTAAAAGGACTACCGGATCATGGTAAGAACTGACGTTATCTGCTAATCTGTCAGCGGTGTTTACTATAGATTATGATTATCACAGCGAACGTATCGATTTATCTCATTTGCCATTTAATTTAACGTGAGAACAAGCGTTCTTTATCTTAAATTAATTCAAATTTCTTTGAGACTTACTGACAATTTTAGATATATTACAACGAGAAAAGATATATATATGTTAGCGAATCAAGCAAAGATATACATATTAATTTCAATCACAATTCGGGCTATGATAACGAAGGAAAGCGGTTAAGTAACGAATTCTTTCACAAATGACAGATATGAAGATGATTTAATAAATAATTACATGTTCCTATGCTGGAAGATGAGTCGGTGAATCTAATGTTCTCCTTTACATATTTACTTTGACAATGAGACAGACTACCACGAGAAGTAATACACTTGATATAATTACCGCATTCACAGTATTGCTATTTTTGATGTAACACACGCCCAACTTGCATTTGTTTAAGTTTCACATGCAGATTATATCATCATTACTTTGATATAAACTTCCTCCAGCAAATACAAAACCCTTGACCTCATGACACTCGCGACGTACCAACTAGAGATAAGCACAGAATAAGTACGCATAACTGAGGAAAATGTGTGTTTGTATATGGCCTGTATGTGGCCCGATGTTGATTATTTACACTTTGTCCATTTCCAGAGTGCACAAAATAAGGCAATATGTACGTGTTTACAATTTACATCATCTGGTAATACATATATAGTAAGATATTACAAAGTATGAGGCCTTTATAGAACATTGTTCCATTCCGTTTGGAGTTTTGATTTGGATTTTACATTATAAGACTAGTCTAATAATGTAAAATATGCATTTATTTTTTTACTAATTTGAATAATACATCAGCTACAACACGTTTAAACATACGTCTTCGAATGTTATAATCTTACATGTACGAACACGGCGACCTTGAAAGAGGTGTCAACAGTTTTCAAGACTAAATATTGGTATTTGGAACATAATCAATGTGTCAAGTTTTTCATTTGATAATGAGATACTTTTGTCCCAATGTTCAAAATATTGTCTGCTCATTGGACGTGGATCAAGGTAAATTAACCGTACACACAAATATGTAGTCTTCTTTCATGATATGTTATAAACAAACTACAGACGTTGTCCTTTCACGACCATACGTCACTTCGCGCTTCAGTTTCAGAAACCAATTATTTAAATGTTATATCAATACTTCCTAACATCTCGGCTAGCTAGTTTCGAGTCGATTTTGTTTTGTTTTCATAATTCGCTGATAAGGTAGCCCAAATTATCTCTAAAAACTTCGCTCTGGACATTCAATGCAGAACAACGGTAGCTTATTTCCCTTCTATCTTATGAAACTTTTGAATTTAAGCATAAAGATGTCAACTTGAAAGTCTTAAAATAAAATAATGATTTGTGGTGCACCCATTTTTATACAACCATCTGTAAGCTTAAGGGAGGGTATTATTGCTAGTTTCGCGGTACATGCTAAAGCTATGGACTCTCCTATCAAACAGAGTAAAAGTCATCCCATGCTCCCTTCGAAAACTGATATCGAGCTGATTTCTTGTATTTACTCTTCCGGAATTATTTAGGAATTTTTGGTTATTCAAATCTCACTTGAAGATGAAGAAAAAAGTTGACGCCGAACGGACGGAAGGGAAAGTGAACTAGCAGGGTTGTCACTAGTAGTGTAGTAGGATACCTCGGTTGAAGTAGCAGACTCACTCAGGAGGGGTTTTGTGACCTGGCTGGTATGATGACGGAGATAGTCCACACGGTTTTGTATTGGTTGCACATACTCCGTCATGTTTTCAGTTGCCAGACTCAACGCACGTTCTGCGTTTTTTAAAGCTTCATTCAGAAGATTCTTCCTGAACATGCGATCGCAGTTTGCAATGCTAAAATACATTTCCAGAATTGGACATAATTCAGATTTCGATCCTTCAAACTGCTCCATTATGTAGTCAGCAATTTTCGCGTCTTTCTTTGGCACATTTGTTTTGCTACTCATGCCTAGTCCATTACAACCACATCTCAACAGCAGCACCACCAGCTGGAACTTTACATATGCTGCGCCATATATTCGATCCTGACCTTTATCCTCATTGAAATGTTGAAGGGATCGATTGTAGCTTTCGATGGTGCGTTCTCGCATTATTTCGACAGATTTTCCTGTGTTATGAACGGTACCTGTCATCATATCGAGCTGTAACGCGTTACTTCTCCCCTCGTTGTAGTAAACCCATGCGGCACCTCTTCCGGTGCAATGCGCTGGGTTTGATTCAACTATCATTTTCCTGTCGTCCGTTATCTGTTGTAGCTTGGCATACTTCCGTTGTAAAAGGTACTTCCGTGTTTGTGGAGATAGCAGTAACAGCTGGGAATACATAGGATCCGTGGTTTTAGGCATCAGTTTTTTTGCTAGAGAAAGTGACTCTTTTACCGCAGTATTATCTAATTTACGCTGTGCAAACAAGACCTTCATATATTCCACAGTAAACCATGTATCATAGCAATTAGGTCTGTATTCTCTAAGCCTGATGCATTCCACTGCAAACTCACTACTCTGTCCATTGTTGTACATGTCGGCAAGTTTATCGAATGCTTTCTCCACATATCTGATATGTTTTCGTTCTGACGACACTGGCCTTGTAACACGTGGTGCTAGGATTAGTTGTTTAGTTTCTTTTCTCATCCGTTTATACTGCTTGCTGACAGATGGCCTTTTTGTTAGTTTGTTCTGCTCAGTTTCACCAGCCCTTTTCCTTTTCCTTGGTGATTGAATTCTAAATGATCTCTCGTCTTTTATTTGTTTGTAGTATTCACATAGCTCTGGTTTATCTGCAATAGCTTGTTTAAACAAAACGAACGCCCTGTCTCCCCGAGTCTCTATACATTCAAGTAACTGTCGGCTCCTGTTTTTCCTTGGTGTCTCTACATCGTTAAACACATTATGTTCCTCTTGTGTAATCACTTCATTTTCATACAGAAAGTCGATGATAAGTCGAGGTTCAAGGTTGTTGATTAAGTCTGATTCCATGCTGGGTACATCGTCTGAAATGATATTGTGCACGTAATAAATGATATAAAATGTACCCTTTGTATAAAAGTATATCCGTAATATCGGTAAGTATTTTATATCATTACATAAACTTGGCGCCCTCTCTTTACATCCTTACTTTCAAGATGAAGTACAATGTTTCCTGTTTTGACTATTATCGCTAGGCTGTGAACGCGATCGATCTACTGGTCACATTATACGCACAAATCAATTCACATACAGCTTACGTCATAATGTGTGTGTATTGGTGCATAAGTATTACTGAACAATGTACTAAGGTATGATGTGTGTATCTACCAGTGTAAACATGTGTATATCGGGAGATAAATTTAATTACTTAGCCAGTTATAAATCAGTCAGCGGAGGTATAACCTAATATACTATGTATTTATACTGTATAACAGTAACGATGTAGATATAGAGGCAAGTTAATGCCTGCGTCCATACAATATCCTATTGTATCCTATAGTATGTAATGTATATGTGTACTGGTGCATTAGTGTATTGAGCAATTTACTAAAATATAATGTTATTTGTGTGTACCAGTGTAAATTACAGGGGTCAGATCGAACACTCGTCCGACCGGGCACGACGAGTAAAATTTTGGTTGGACGAGTAAGGGTTGTTATCATACTTGTCCACCGGACGAGTGGTTTTGACTGCCTTGGTTTTGATAAAAAATGTTCTCATGATTGTGCATTCAAATATTCATATTAAAAAATGTGCAAAGTCCCCATTCCTTTAATTCATAGACATTTAACTAGAAATAAAACGTCAACTTCCGAAGTTCCGTGAACGCTCGACATGGCCGTGATATAAATGGTAAACTTGTAGCACACACGAACTTAGTTCACAATGGCTGCTAAAAACACAATAACGTTCACACTTTTCTTTCCTATCATTGAAAACAGTTATATCTTACAGTCAAATAGAATTTCGTTCAAATTTTCTCAGAAATGTGGGCAATTAATAATCAGTGACATGGCGCCATTGATCAAGAATAAAATACGATTTATTTTTTCATGTTCAATATATCGGTAGCGCTACCCATTTTACCCTCGAAACAATCAGTTCAGAACGAGGCTTGCTAGTAACCAAGCAAGCAAAGTCGCGCTAAGATGGCGGAACGGAAGAAACTAACTTCGTTCTTCACTTCAAAAAATAAAAATGAAGAGTCAGAGGGTCAAGAATTAACAGACAATCTTGTAAATAACAAACAACACAATGTCCCCATAACGACTGCCATAACGGCTGGATCTAGCAGTAGCAGTACGGAGACATGTAAAAGGAAACCCACGCATTCACACAGCGGTGTGAATGTGAAAGCAAAAAAAGATTCGTATGAAACGAAGTCTAGATATAGATCATTTAAGGGTGCAAGGGATTGGACCGTTAGAAGCATGCGTGAAAGCGTTAGCTACAAAATTAGATGAGAGAACTGAAAACATTATGCATAGTCTATTTAACACTGCATTCTATGTTGCAAAAGAAAATGTTGCCTTCTCCAAGTGTGAACTACAAATTAAAAATAATCTTGACTTGGGTAAATTATACATGAATGAAGATGGTTGTAGGGAATTTATATTCAACATAGCAGTCTCCATGTCAGATGATCTGATTACAAAGTTGAAAAATACAAGCTTTGTATGTGTGTTGGCAGATGGTGCAACGGATTCGTCAGTTATTGAGCAGGAAACAGTTTATGTTAGGTTTGTTGATGATGGTTGCTTACGTACTGAGTTTGTAGATGTCGTTCAATTAAAACATGCTAATGTAGAAGGAGTTCTGTAAGGTATGGTAGAGGGCTTGAACAATGTAGGAATCTAATCCAATGAGTTAGAAAAGAAGTTGATTGGGTGTAATTTTGATGGTGCGGCAGTTATGTTAGGCAAGAGAGGAGGTGTTGCTAAGAAACTGGAGGAAAAGGTTGGACATCCAATAGTGGCTATTCATTGTGTTGCTCATAATCTTGAGTTGGGTGTTACAGATGCAGTTAAGTCAATCAAATATATGTCCAAGTTTCAGGATACCATACATCAAATTTACAAGTTTTATTACTATTCACCCAAGAGGAGGAGGGAAATGAAGGAAATTGCTTCTATTCTTGATGAAATACCAATTCAGCAGACAGGTTTACAAAAAACTAGATTTCATAAGTCTCCCCTCAATAATGTTTCTGTTTTAAAAAAGTCTGTTCTCATTAATCTTTCTACCAGTGTGAAATATTCCGAAAATTTCGCCTCGATAATGTTCCGTGTGAGATGTTTACAAAGTCTCCCCTCAATAATGGTTTGTGTGAAGTGTTTAAAAAGTCTCCACAGTAATATTTCTATGCTTGTGAAGTGTTTAAAAAGTTTCCACAGTAATATATCTATCTGATGCTTTGTCTATGTTGAATTCCACAGTAATATTTCCTATCTTGTAACACGTTTAAATATCCTCCAACAGTTCACACTGTTCCTATGCTTGTGAAGTGTTTAAAAAGTGGAAACACTAATATTCTATGCTTGTAATGTCGATTACCGTTCCTATCAGTAACATGCTTTTCTCTTCATCACGAGATAACAACGACTGTTATCATAGCTGCCACCTTTCAAACTCTATATCATGTCGTATTTTTGTGGGGACAGTGATATTGTTTTAATATCGTGTCAAACAATGATATTTGTTCAATGTTTGATTCAAACTTCATGGAACATGAATTAAATTTTGAATCATGCTCATATTTTAGAAATAATCTGATTTTGAGAAGAGAAATGAAAAGCGTACATTATTTTGCAAATTCAGATATCAAATGATAATATTTACATTATTTGTTTGTATTATGGTTATTAGCATTGCTACAGGTATGGTTTTTATCAACAGATAATAATTTGTATTATTGTTATTTTCACTGCTAATGTTTTGAGGATAATTAAAATAACATTATTTTGCAAATTCAGATATCAAATGATAATATTTACATTATTTGTTTGTATTATGGTTATTATCACTGCTACATGTAGGATAATTATCAATAACATTATTAGTATTCTGGTTATTAGCACTGCTACAGGTATGGTTTTTATCAATAGTAATATTTGTATTATGGTTATTATCACTGCTACATGTAGGATAATTATCAATAACATTATTAGTATTCTGATTATTAGCTAATGTAGATTGCAAGTGCATTGTGTACAAACATATTACATGTATGGAGGTCTGTACTAGTGTGTTAAGAATTGTATTTCATTTAAATACTCAATAAATATGTTGATTATATAACCGGTATTGTAAGCGTTTCACGTGTGCTAGTTCTTCAGTACAGAGTGATCATCTTAAAGGCCGTAAATTCTATATTTAGGATGATCAATACAGATTAAATAATTGTGTTTAAAAACAGAATTACCACGTATGTTTGATATTGTGACTATTCAGTGGTATATTTAGTGTTATTTGGAGTTCAATTTGATTACTAATAATCATGATGTTTTATAGACGACAAGGTAAATGACTGATTTTTTAAAATTCCTGATTATCGATCTTCTCGATTATATGTTGTGTATTGTTAAATACAGTTATGTATGCTTAATTTTGAAGCATTAACATGTTTTCAATTGAAAATCACTTACAAGAACGATATATATAACGAGATATATTTCAAATAACTTGCATACTGTTCTGTGAATTCTTGTGATTACTGCTCATGGAACTCGCAGAAACGGGTCTATTTTTAGCTTGTATCGGCTTTTTGTACGGGCACCAGACTGGTATGCTGACGCAGTGTCTGGAAATCTCCATACTGAAATCGACTGATCCGTACCAATGTGTATGTGTTATTTAAATATCATCCTACCTTATACCTACAACTGTCTATCTTCGTTCCCTTTCTGGTCAATCCTGTCGGCCACTTAACATCTCGATGATGTTCTGAAAAGTGTCCTTTCTACGATGTGGCAGCATCACACTGAACTAAAACAGATACAGCTCATATCATCCGTGTCGCTTCTGATCTGGTGACGTAACGGACTATTTTTTATTACGAAAACTGAAATGTGCCTGGCAGTTCATATACATGAAAATTTGATGATCCAAAGTCAAAGGCTGACACTAACAACCATTTATATAATAATCATATGTTCGAATAGAAATATGCATAATAATATTACACACGCCAACATGAAAAAAATCGCAGTCCAAGGGAGATAAGTGAAAGAGTATTTCATGACCAAGGGCCATGTGTGGAATTTACATTCGTAAATGGGTGAAGCAATGCTTGGCCCTATAACATCTACCTCATAGTCAAATTGATGTCATATTATCACAGATAGAGGATATTTGATAGTGAATTCAGTAAATACAAATATATGTCACAAGTGTGTCTAATAGTTTAGTATCTTTTTCGAGTGCGCAGCACGATTGAAATACGTACAAAAAATATTAGACGCACGAGCGAAATACGTCTGTCTTACTGAAGTCACTATCAAATTACATTTTCACAGGCCAAATAGCCAAATCATTTGCATATGTAAGACAGATATAAAAGGAAGAAACTGACTATGCTTTTCGCAAACACTACCCACTCATTATAATTTTGCAGTTATTTGTTTATTTTTATATTTAATTAGAAAATATTAGTTATTAATGTCACTAACAGATCAAACTAGGCGTAAAGCGTTCAGAGAGTTTAACCTGTCACAAGCTACTACGTGACTGAAATATGACGGCAACCTAGCTGTCTTTGTTTATGACAGAAATTCACTCGAAATTTCTAGCCCTACTTTCAAGATTTTCGGTCGGGGAATGGGTTGGATCGCTGATAAATTAAAGTGAGTTGCATTGTTTGCTGACTACCATGGAAATGAAATGTACTATGGAATTACTAGTAAAAATAACCATCAGCTTTCTGGTTTTTATGAATTTTTTGTTTCGGGCTTTATGATTGGTCTATTTTATAAGATGACTTGTGTTATCTGTTGTTATCGGTGTATGTATGCGAAAGTATTATTTTCCACTTGTGAAAAATAACAAATTTCACAAGTGAAATATAACACTTTTATCAATGAGATATTTTTCTATATTTCACTGGCAGTGATATAATAAAAGTGGGGAAAAAACAAACAAAAAAACACACGTTGATACCTTCCATTGTTGTCTCTACTTACCATATAGTTTTAAAATAGTAAAGTGTAATCCTGCAAATGATTCACTGAAACTCTTTCATAAAAAATGATGAAGTTATATGCTGTAGAAAGGAGGTTTTATGGGCGTACCTTTGAATTTAAAACCCATTATCGAACTAAGACTTTTCGAATGGAGGAGTATATTGGGAGGATTGTTCATTTGGTATAAAGAATTCAAAACGGAACTGTTGGTACAGATGTAACGTTGTAATATTTTGTGATAAAGGGACAAAAAGGGACAATATATTAATTAACATGTCTGTACTGTCGATTTACTTTATTGATCAAAGAAATATCGACATGCATAAGTTTTAATCCGACGGGAAGTGATGTAACAGTTTAATCCGACGGGAAGTGATGTAACAGAACCTCGCTTTGGAAATATACAGGATGTAGATCAAAGTGTCTAAATCGGTATACAAAATACCAGTTATTGAGAGGTGGTTAACCCACTACATCTTCTCACACTTTGATTTATTTGTCAAGGTGGTAGAACCTTTTGGTGAAGGTGGTTCCCCGAGGTTTTTCGGAATTTGATTTCCCCGTTTTGATTTAAACAAATGCTGGGGTACGGTTTAAAATACACATGGACGTGATATTCTTTTGCAATTATGAAATATATGGAACTGACGAAATTTGTTGAAATATCTGGCTTGAGTACACCCGCCATCTAGTTTTTTTTCTGTCAATAATGATTTCAACAATTTAGGTGTGTTCATCAGAAATCTTAGAAAGACGGAACAGCTCAATTTAATTATTCGGCTCTGTCGAATCTAGCTGTAAATTGGTCTTGAAAGGTACTATACTCTTGTATGTCTTGATGCAACGAAAAGTTAATTACAAATTGTGTTTTATGCACGTGAACATGACTGTGTATACATTTTATTTATTTTCACTTGCATTAGGAACATCTGTATTTACAGCTAAATTTCGATGTATTGAAGTTCAAGGGACTAACGAAAATATTTCGATACATCCATAATTCGAATCATTCATGGTGGGTGATATCGACGTTTTCATGTTCATGGCTATAGTTGTGACAACTGAACAAACACAACAAAGACCAGTAGTAAGAAATTGCCGGTATGAGCGCATTTTCAAATTAGGGTTGAAAACCAACCACTAACACATCTGACTCAACAAGCTCAAAACCAACCACAACAATGTTTAAACATGGTCTAAATGACTTAAAGAAAAATGACGTTTCTAAAAATGACTTAAAGAAAAACATTCTATAATGTAACGAGCGGCCTCGCAAGCTCGACTATCTCCTTATTGCTGACCCATGAATTGAACGTCTCTGGATAACCCTTCCACTTGACCAGCGACCTCGTTTTACCCTTCTTGACGACTTTTTCTATCCTGTATACCTCTTGGCTCGTCTTCTGCAACTCGGGTTCGTAGAAGGTACCCCGAATTTCTTCTCCGTTCTGGTCGCTAATCTTATACGTTACGGGCGACGTGCGTTGTACCGCCGTTATCGTGAATACTTCTTCCGTCCATCTCGGTTGATAGCCCTTCTCAAAGGTTTTCTTGCTTATCCGCACGGCGTCTCCGACGGAAAACTTGGGGTGAATTATCCTAGGCTCATCATGGTTGGGGTATAGATTCATCCACACTCGGGTTTCATTTTTCTTCTTGCTGGCTTCGGTGGGTGTATGTTTTGTTGACGAGTGTGTCGCATTATTGTACTGATCGACAAGTTCGTCGAGCACATTGATGTAGACACTCGTGGAATTGGAGGAAAAATATTTCCACATTTTTTCCTTCATCGTTCTGATCCATCTCTCCACCACACTCGATTTTTCCTCGTTTTCAATCGAGTATAACTCGACTAAACTCTGCATGTCTTTATTGTAAAACTCTTTGCCCTTATCCACCCAAATCTTTTTCGGTTTCCTCCCCTTGAGTATCTTTTTCAGTGCAGCTGCGACCGATTTCCCCGTTTTATCTTTTAATGGCACTAACCAACCGTACTTGGAGAAAATGTCGATAACGGCAAGGAGATACTTAGTGCCGCGATTAAATTTCGAGAATGCCTGCATGTCTACCAAATCTGCGGCCCAAATTTCATCGATGCCATTAACACGTACCCTCCTTCTCTCAAACTTTTTTCTCACGGGTCTGTGTAATTCTTCAGCCAATGCTTTGAGTGCTGTAGGCGTTGAGCTCATCTCCTCAACCTGCTGCCTTTTTTCCCTCCCACCCCCATTCCAAACCTCATCTTAGTGCCAATGATCTTGTCCACAATAGATCTATCCAACCTCTCTCTAAGTGTAGGGTTAACAATTCCACCCAGTTCAGCTAACATATTCTTGTCACATACCCTATTTCTTGTATTAGTGTCCTTGTTTTTCAAGTAACACACATCATGATGGTATGCATCATTATCAACCCTGTTGATAGGTTTACTCCATTCCTTTGGTGTGAGGTCTGGTTTCAGCCTTTTACCGAGATTAGTCCCAGGTACCGTAAAATTATGTCCCGGGAGATGCATTTCAAACGGTAAATGATTGATGGCTTCATTCACAATTGATCCGCCTACAAATTGTGTTTTTGTAGTCCCACACACGACACATTTACCCCGTTTCATATTTCGTCCATTTTTAGAAACAGTGTTTTGAACATCACTTGTTTCAGTGGCTCTTTTGCATTGACATTCATAATATATGTATAGACCTGCCATCATTATGCAGGTAAGTTTGTTTATTCAGTTAGTGTTTTAGTATTTTCTTGTACCAATTTAATCATCCATGCGTTACCCCAGTATTTAATATCTCTGTGTAGGCAATAAATTAGTTTATTTTTTTTGCTGTGATGTAGGTTTGTTCATTAACTGTAATCACAGAAAAAACAGGCGGAACTATTATTCCTGAAATTTTCACCGTGTTCACCGTTTGACCTGTATCTGGTCAACCTCTCTTCCGTTGGTGCCTTTTATTGAATAACATATTGATTAAGCTTGTATCTGGGGTTGTTATTATGTTTTGGATGAATTAATTTGTTGTATGCATCGTTGGAAGAATAGGCAATAGATTAATTTTAATTTATTTTTGTAGTGATGTAAGTTTGTTCATAAAAAAAGAAAACGAAAATACCTAAATGTCAACATCATCATAGGGTAAACTATGTTTAAATAAGTTCCGCAAGCATTACAAAATACGCCCGTCCTAATTTGAGCAATCATAACTTGATGGATTTCAGGCGGATAATTTTGGTTTCTAGGCTGTAAGATTGATTTACAAGATTATCTACTGAATTTCTATAAAGTTAATGGTGCTAGTGCAAAAACTGCTAAAACTATTTGTGAGAGAGAGAGAGAGAGAGAGAGAGAGAGAGAGAGAGAGAGAGAGAGAGAGAGAGAGAGAGAGAGAGAGAGAGAGAGAGAGAGAGAGAGAGAGAGAGAGAGAGAGAGAGAGAGAGAGAGAGAGAGAGAGATAGATAGAGAGAGACAGACAGAGAGAGAGAGAGAGAGAGAGAGAGAGAGAGAGAGAGAGAGAGGGAGGGAGGGAGAGAGAGAAGAGAGAGAGAGAGAGAGAGAAAGAGAGGGAGGGAGGGACGGAGAGAGGGAGAGAGAGAGATAGTGTGAGAGGGAGGGAGGGAGAGAGAGAGAGATAGAGTAAGAGGGAGGGAGGGAGGGAGAGAGAGAGAGGGAGGGAGGGAGAGAGGGAGAGAGAGAGAGAGAGAGAGAGAGAGAGAGAGAGAGAGAGAGAGAGAGAGAGAGAGAGAGAGAGAGAGAGAGAGAGGCCGGCCTTCCAAAACTCAAATCGTATAAAATTAAACAGACAATTGCTCTTC